GGCACTTGCAGCCCCCCACCCCTGCACCGCTGCAGCCAAGAGTGTGGGCCCAAGGTGCCCAGGCCTGGCCCTCCCTGGCTGCACCCTCCTCCCCGCAGCTCCCATGCACGGGCCTGAGGCACACCCTGCCCCTCCTTGCCCTCTGCACCCCAGCTTCTGCGGCAGAGGCCTCTGCCCTGGAGGGAGGCAGAAAGCGCCCTCGGGAGCCTCCCGGGAGAGCAGAGGGGCTGTGAGCATGTGGGCACAGGAAAGGAACAGGAAGCCTGCCCGAAGTTCAGGCCTGTCGTCTGGGAAGGTTCTGATGGGAAGGAGCAAGAACTCGGAGGCAGAGCCGGGGGCAGGCATCGAGGGGGCCAGCCCGTACGGGAGCCCCGCTCCCCGTGCTCTCACCTGCCCAGGTGGGCTCCACCGGACTCCTGTATGGAGGCTCAGGACCCAGGCAAGCAGGTGTCCCGAGCCAAGCCCTGTGGGCCCACCCCAGGCCCCCACCCACCCCCCAGGCCTCACGTTCACTGCAGGAGCCTCTGCAGGCTGGCCTGTGAGGGCTACCCTGGGGCTCCCACCACTTGGGGTCTGTGGCTAAGGACGCTGGGCCTCGCCCTTGGCGGACCTCTCGAGGCCTGCGCCGGGGGAAAGGGACAGGGACAGGGCTGCCTGCCGTGCGTGGCTGGCCCACACTCGCCTTCCTCCAGGTCATTCCGGGCAGCCGCCTCCAGAAGGGCAACGCTGGGGGGGAAGAGGACCCGCTTCTGTGGCCGGCCGCCAGCCGCCTCCTGTGACTGCGTCCGCTGGCCCCTCCTGCCATGGGCCTCCTTCTCGGCCTGGGCCCACATCTTCACCTGCTGGGCACGTCGCTTCTGGGCGTGCTTCAGCCGCTCCTGTGTGCTCATCCTGCCCACCGTGGGCATCTCTGCCAGCAGCTCCAGGTGCTCGGCCATGGCGGGGTCTGCCTGCCAGGGGGGCTGCTGGGGGCACCGGACGGGGAAGCACGGGGGCCAGGCTGGGCCTGCGAGGCGGGGCAGCTGGCTGGACTGGCGCCCTGGGGGGCATCCCCTCTCTAAGGCTCGGTGCCCTCTGCCCCTGGCAAGGCTGGGTCAGGAGGCCCGCCGCTGTGACCAGACCCGGGCAGCCATGAGGGGCCCGGGCCCCAGGCAGAAAGGGCAGCAAGGGAGGGCGCCTGCAGCCGGCCTCCCAGGGCCTTGGCACCTCGGCGGCTCGATGGACAAGGCCTCCCTCCCTCGTGGGGTCAGGGTGCCCACCCTGTGGCAAGCAGTCCTGGACCCGGCCAGCCTCAGTTCAGGGTCTGACGCTAATGACCCAGATAACGAAGCTGCAGCCTGACGCCTCGCCGAGGGGAAGAGGAGGCCAGGGCAAGGGGCAGAGGCCCCCGGGAGCCCTGAAAGCTCCTCTCACCTAACAGGCCTTAGGGGACCAGGTGGGCTCTAGGAGCAGCCATGGCGGGGGCCTTCCCTCCCCACGCCCCCAGCCTTCTGGGGTCGGTGCTAACGAGGAGGTGTGGCCACAGGGGGCCCAGGCGGGCGTGTGTCCAGAGTCCCAGGGTCCGGCCCCCAGCGCCTGGGGCTGAGGCTCTCTAAGCGGCCAGGGCACCAAGGGTACAGCGGGCCTGGCAACTGTGTCTTCAGGAAGGCGTCCCCTTCGGAGGAGCCGGCGGCCCAGCTGTACACGGCAGGCGCTCCCGCTGGCCTGAGAGGAGGAAGCAGGAAGCGCGTCAAGGCCAGACGGTGGCGACGGGCTCCACCCGGAGCCCCGCCCTGTGTGAGGGCGAGCCCTGCCCGGGAGATCCTGGCGGAGGGGAGGGGGCTGGCAGTGCCCGCATTCTGGCCCACACACTCGCTGTTTCCAGCAAGCGCCCTGCAGGCTGTGAGAGGCACTGCGAGCTCGCTGTGGCCTTCCTGAGAGGTGGCCCCTCGAGGCCTCCGGCTCAGCCCTTGCCCCGCAGCGCCCCTGACCTGTGCGCCCTGGGCCGGGCCGGGCTGGGCTGGCCAAGGTCACCTTCTCCTTGGGCTCTCCCGGACTCCCCGAGGGCTGTGCGGCCTAGGCCTTCCCGAGGGCGGGCCCGCCGCCTGGGCACTGGGCCGCCCTGCTGCTCAGCCGCAGCTGCGGAGGGCGGAGGGCCTGGCCTGGCCTGCCCAGCACCCCAGCTCCTCAACACCCGAGTCTGGGCCTCTTCCTCGCCGGGCTTTCTGTTTCTAGCTCAGGCCACTTGGTGCTTTTCTTCCCTCTGCCATCCTGGGCGGCGGTCCAAGCCCTGGTCGTGTGAACGCAGGCGCAGGTGGCCTGCCTGACAGACAGGTGGGCCGGCAGCTGGGCTGGGGCACAGCCCCACAGTCCCCACCATGGCCCATCCTGCCCAGCACGCCCGGTGTGCTCACTAGGCATGGTCCCAGGACACTCCTCGGAAGGCCATGGCCATGCTCCACCTAGAAGGTACCCACCTGCAGCTCAGCCTGCCCACCGGGAGTCCCCATTCCCACTTGGCCAGACCTTGTGGCCATCTAGAGACTGACCCAGCCTTCTTCTGGCCAGACTTGTACTCAGGGGTTTCAGTGAGTGCCCCCTTCTTTCTGGAGGGGGACTGTCCTGGGCCAGATCAAATGAGGTCAGGTCCCTCCTGCCCCGGGACCCCCAGTGTATTGGGAGCCTCGCTTTACAGCTCTACCTTGCCCTAGACTTTGCTGGCACTCCAGCTATCTGCTCTGCGAGCCAGGCCTCAGAGGCTTCCTGGGGACAGGAAAGAGCCCTCCAGGCAGCCAGCCCCCAGCTGGCCACCTCTGCAGACTGCTGGGGCCAGGTAGACAATGAGCTGCCTAGACCCCCTGCCTGGATCCCCCCAGTTCCCACCTCTGCCCCCTTCTCCACCGAGACAGAGACAGGCAAGAGGCCTGCAGGCACGGTGCCAACTCCCCACCCATTAGGCTGGGGGTGGATCCCAGACCATACCCAAGGCGTGGCAGAGCTTTCACTGGCTCTGTAAGACTCTCCCTCCCTACTGGCCACTCACAGGTAGCCACATGTTCCCCTGGAAGGAGCTGGGACCCCCTCCAGCCCACACATGGGATCTTCACCTGTCTGGGGTAGGTCTCTGAAGAGCCTGCCCCAAGAGATGCAGGAAGGAGGAGCAATGCACTCTGCCCAGGGCCACCCCCGACCCCGTCACAGAGGATGCCACCCCCACCTGTCCACGAGGGAGGAAGTCCCCTGCAGGCCAAGGCCCCGCGGCAGAGCGGGGCTCACAGGGCCTCAGCGACCGTCTTCTCCAAGTGGGCGCCAACATCAGAGCCACAGCCCGATTTTGTTAAGTTTGACAAGATTTAGGAGATGTCATCCACCCCATCATTTTATGGAAGAAAAGAGATTCTGACGCCCACATCCTACAGAAATTGCCCTAGAGGGGACCTCCCTGATGGTCCAGTGGTTAGGACTGCATGGTTCCACTGCACGGGTTCAATTCCCTGGTCGGGGAGCTAAGACCCCTGCATGCGGGGGAGCAGGGTAGGGGACAGAAAACAACCTAAAATAGAGTAACCACCAGCTTTTCAAATTGAACAGATGTTGTGTTTTCTAGCTGTTGTTTTCTTATTTTGAAGGCCACCCATGAAAATACATGTGGGGCAGGATCTGAAGCCTCACCCAGGCCCACACCTGTGCCCCAGGCAGCACGGGGCTCAGGATAGAGACCTGCTCCCTGTGGGCCCCCAACAGCCCAGGCACTGCACACTGAAGACTCTGGTCTCCTGCTGGGCTACAGCGCTCAACCGGGTCCTCAGCCCCCTACTCTGGGGGACCCACCTGCCCGAAGCCCCAGGTCCCCTCTGGGCCCCTTTAGCAGCACTCCTTGCTGGAAGCTGCCTGAGGACAGTCTGCATGTGACCTTGGGCGGGTCCTTGGGCCGCTGGACTGCCTCCTCTGAGAGAAAGGTGACCCCAGGGAGTGTCAGGACCCCACTGCAGTGGGCGCCCATCCTGGAACAGTCTCCATGGGGGGCAGCACAGTGCCCAGCCCCCGGCCCCCCCCAGGCTGGGTCTGAGTTCTCCGCCTGTCCCCCCTCCTCAAGCCCCACTCGTCCGCCTCCTCCCAGCCACACAGTCCAGGAACGGTCCCCCCAAGCTGCAAGACTCACCCCTCAGCTGAGCCACAAAGGCCAGGACAGCTCAGTGGAGTCCCAACAACTGACCACCGCACCACACCCAGGCCAAGGGGGCCAAGCAGGGCGGCTGCCGCCTCAGTCCACAAATCCTGCCCCAAGCCTCCCTGGAATGTCAAACAGAGATAATCTGGACGATTTTTCCACTTCTCAGCTCCATGCCTGGGGCGCTGCATGGGAGTGTGGGGCTGAGGTGGGAGGAGCCTTCTGGAAGGACAGTGGCCACTGCCCCTCATCTTCTGAGCCCACACCACTGGACTATGTTCAGAGTCTGTGGAGAGTACCCCTGACACCTGGCTTATGGGCCCCAGCCCAGGCCTTCGGTGTGGACAGACACACGCTGGCCTGAGTGTCTCAGCGGCCCCTCCCCAACCACAGTCCCAGCCCTGCACCGGCAGGTCCCTGTCATTATCCCCATCTCCCACCTGGGGAACTGAGGCCTAAACCCGTGGGGCCCTGCTGACGACGCCACTGTCCTGCCTCTCATGCCCACTTCCCAGCATCTGTGAGAATCAGGGACAGTGTAGCAAGAGCCCAGAGCCTTTGAGGGTCGGGAAGTGTCCCTTCACTCGCCCAGGGACAGGGAGGCTGTGCTTTGCTCAGAGAGAGGAAAGGAGAGATGAAGGGGCGGGGGAGGAGGAGTGGGGTGCCCACCTCCCCTCAGGTTCTGGGGGCTTCGCATCCCTGTCCTGCTTAAGGTTTGCTGGAGCTGGTTTTCCTTGTGGCTTTATCTATGACAGCAGAAGATGGGGAGTGACCAGCTGCTCCTCACTCTGGGAAGAGCAAAGCGTGTGTCACCATCCTGCAGAGTCACACACACAGACATGCCCGTCAGCAGGTGAGGGCATGTAAATGTCATGGGCAAGGGGCTTGCCACAACCCCGAGGCAGAGCTGACCACGCCGCGTTGCAGGCGGGGCGTCTGTTTGCTCGGGGACCACAAGTAGCTGGGCTTCATCCCTGGCTGACCCCCCTGCCCCATCCCCTCACCCTTCCACCCCAGCCCGGCTCACCTGGGAAGCCTCCCATCCCCGCTGCATATCCGGCCGCTGCGGGCACAAGTCCACCAAGGGCACTGTTCGTCCCGCAAAGGACCAGCCAGCTGGGTGCCCACCCGGTCCGTACCCAGGGCCACGTGCTGGGACCTCGGGTGGGGACCTGCTCAGGGAGGGAACCTGACGCCCCAAGGGCAGGGTCTGGCTCACAACAGGCACTCCGCCCGTGGTCTGGCCATGCCGTCCCCAGCCCTGCCCCACGGGCCTGGCCTGGGGGTGGCCTAGGGTCGGGGGACAAGGAAAACTGGCCTGCCCTCAGAGCAGGCGCAGGACGTGCGCTGGTGGGGAGGAGGGCCCACCTGACGGGCCCAGGGAGGGGCCGGGGGCACCGCCAGCGGCAGTGGGGCAGGCTGGGCTGGGGGCACCGGGAGGCATGCGCAGCAAGGACAGAGAGGCCAGGAGCCAAGCAGCTGGGTGGGTGGGCGGCAGGCTCCTCCTCGCACTGGTGCGGGACCCATGGAGGAGCCAACCTGGGGGTGCGGCCAGGGCAGCGTTTCCACAGTGACAGCACGTGCGTGCAGAGCAGCTGTCCCCAGGGGCACTCACCTGCCTCCAGCAGGCCTGTTCTAGAACATTCTAGAAGCTAATCCCACAGCGCTGCCACCAGGCCCCTCACTGCAGCAGCCTTTACGTCCTACACGGCTATCAGAGGGTCATTAAGTAAGGCCCTAAGGGGTTTATGAGGAAGCCTCCTATGCACTCTCATGAGAAGGTCACTA